GCTCCTTTGTCCTCAACAGTTAACTGGGGTGGGGAAAGGCAGATTCTTTAACCCTTCCCTAGGGAGAGGCCTGAGGGAGTGGAGGCTGGACCAGACCCAGGATTGTGGGGGCTCCACTTCTGGTGGAGAAGAGCTGTGGGTGTGATGAGAATGATTTGGGTGGGGCTGAGAACCCTTTTAGGCTGAGAAGCAGGCGGTCACCTAGGGAGTGGGTGGGGACCATTCCTCTTATCCATGAGGGGAGGTGGACTGACTTCCATGGGAGGGTTTTGCCCAGAGGTGGAAAGTGAACATCTTGCTCTGCAAGGTCAGACCAGACCAGAGGCCCAGGGATTTGCAGATAGTACTAGGAAGGAATGTTGCCTTGTGCCAAGTGGCTCCCAAGGGCACAAGCAGGCCCAGGGATGACCTGAGGTAATACAGCATGGTGGTTATGAGCCACAAAGAGCTGGGCTCCTGTTCTAGGGCTGACACTCACTGGGTGACTTCAGGCAAGTTACTTAACCTTTCTGAGCCTCTATTTCCTCATCCATGAAATGGGAGTAATAATATCAGTGCCTACCTCACAGGGCTGTGAAGATGAAATGAGATAATATATGTAAATTAAGTGGCAGGTGCTATTATTAATAACAGTGACAATAAGGCTGTTTATAAAGGATGGAACGTAGGGAAATGTGCTTCAGCTCAATAAAATGTTAGGAGCGTTCCTACACAAAATACAGCAGTTTTGTGGTTTCAGTTACCCATGGTCAACTGTGGTCCAAAAATATTAAATGGAGAATTCCAGAAATACGTAATTCATAAGGTATAAACTGCGTACTCTTCTGAACAGTGTGATGAAATTTCGTGCCATCCTGCTCTGTCCCGCCCAGGACACGAATTATCCCTTTGTCCAGCATGTCCACACTGTAGATAATCCTTGACCATTAGTCACTTAGTGGTCAGCTGGTTTATCAGATTGACTGTCGTGTATCACAGTGTGTTCATGCGACCCTTGCTTTACTTCACGATGGCCTCACAGCACAAGGGAGTGACGCTGGCATGTTGTTATAATTGATCTATTTCATTATTTGTTATTGCTGTTAATCTCTCACTATGCCTAATTTAGAAATTAAACTTTATCATAGGTTTATATGTATAGCAAAAAACACAGTACAGGTTGAGTATCCCTTATCTGAAATTCTCGGGACCAGACATGTTTTGGATTCTTTTTGGATTTTGGAATATTTACATTATACGTACTGGTTCAGTATCCCTAATCCAAAATCCAATATGCTCCAAAGAGCATTTCCTTTAAACATCATGTTGGTGCTCAAAAAGTTTCGGATTTTGGAGTATTTCAGATTTCAGATTTTTGGAAACTGTGGTACATCTACACAATGGAATACAACTCTGCTATAAAAAAGAACAAAATACGACCATTTGCAACAACATGGATGGACTTAGAGAAAATTATATTAAGTGAAACAAGTCAGGCACAGAAAGAGAAATACCACATGTTCTCACTTATTTGTGGGAGCTAAAAACTAATAAATAAATAAACACACAAACAAATAAAGGGTGGGGGGAAGAAGATAGAATAACCACAAAAATTCCTTGAACTATTTAAGCCAAGTGCACAGATGTGGGGGGAGGTGGAGGTGGTGGAGAGGAACGGGTAAAGGGGCATGAAAATCAAGTTCAATGTATTTTGAGAAGTAAAACAAACAAACAAACAAACAAAAATACAAATAAAAAAGTATGACAACTATTTACATAGCATTTACATTATGTTACATATTATGATATTATATTAGGTATTAGAGATGATTTAAAATATACAGGAAGGTGTGCATAGGTTATGTGCAAATACTACACCATTTTACATCAGGGACTTGAGCATTTCCCAATTTTGGTACCCATGGGTGTTCCTGGAACCCATCTCGCACAGATACGGAGGGAGGACTGTACTTTGCTATGGCAGCCCTGGCAAACTAATGCACTGCCCCTCACTAGTTCTATCTAGGGTATAGTTTTTTATAAATTAAAAAAAAAAGATTTTTGGATTAGGGATGCTCAACCTCTATACACAGGATTTGGTACTATCCCAGGTGTCGGGCATCCACTGGGAGTCTCGGAACGTGTCCCCATGGATGAAGGGGCTACTGTATGTTACATCTTGAGGGAGGGGGTTCTTTGTCACTGGAGGCATACAAGCAAAAGTTAGAGGTCCCCTGACTGGGGATGTCACTGAAGTACGAAGCCTCAGACTGGAGTAAGCACACTGATTTTGAGGTCTGTGGTTGTGGGCTGGAAGGCATTTGCTTGAAGCCCTGCCCTACACCTTTGGATCATTCTGGAGTCTCATCCCTCATGAGGTGCTGAAATCTGGTGGAGTCCGGACATGGAATCATCGGGCTGGGAGACAGGGAGTTCTGGGTTTTGAGGGATCCTCTTTGTGTAGCTGGTTAACCGAGTCCCAGAACAAGGAGCCTTGGGAGGCAGCCCAGTGTGTGTGGGAGGCTGAGCAGAGTCTTCTACCTCCTGCTCTGGAGACTTCTCCTCTGCCAGGCCTTCTGGAGAGGTGTGAGGGGCAGAGCAGCACAGGCTACTACCCCGGGCCAGCCTGACCGTCTGACCCTGGCTGGATGGAGCAGAGGCCTCTGACTTGTGCTGGGAGGGCCTCTTGCTTTGCTTGTTCCAGGGCAGGGACAGTCCCCCTGGGCATCAGACAGGGGTGCAGGAAGGTGGTGGGATAAGCGGGCACGGGGCTTGGCTGAGAGTCTCCTCACAAACCCTCATGGCGACAGAGCTGCAGTAGCTTTGGCGTGTGCCCTGGGCCTGGAGGCCACCAGCTGACCCTTCTGTCCTGCAGCCCTTGTGCACCCTGGAAGACAGGCTTCCTTTGGGAGGTTCTGCAGGTCTGCAGTGGCAGAGGCCCTTGGATTTGGCTGTCACTTATTGTCCAGGTTTGGGCTCAGCCTCTGCCCATGAGCCTGAATGCCTCCCAGTCCCCAGCATGGTCCTTCCTGCTTCCACACCCTTGCCCAGGGGTCCCTCTACCTAGAATGCCCTCTCCATCTCAGATGGGCTTCTTTGGCCATCGTAACCATTATTCCCTTCCTTTGATGCAGGCATCACTCTTCCTCTGGCTGTGGGGGTCTCGATGGGGCTGCCAGACCCTGGGTGACTGTGCGACTCAACCTGGACCAACTGCAGTCCTCCCTTGGACTGTGCAGATGGTACTGTGGAGAGAGTCTCCTTGTTTCTGGGGGCAGAGTGGAAATGTGCCTGCAAGGACAAGTGATACACAGCCTGTCGGAGGGAACGACGCTGATGCAGGGGATTCTGAGGAGAGGGTGGCTGGGGAGCTGAGGCCATTGGGGTCCCTCGCTTCCAGTCCCTGTCCCTGCCATGGGGTGTCATGGACCAGTACACTCCTCTTTGGACCAAGGGGGTTTGAGTTGAATTTCTAGCTCTTGCAACCAGGAGCCCAATGGGCTTCTATCTTTCGGGACCCACATCTGTCACCTCTGGGACACCTGTTCATATCTTGCCATAGCACCAGGCAGGACATAGGCCACCCTCAGCTCTTCAGAGAACAAGCAACTCATGTCCAAAGGCTGGGCATTATTTATCTGTCTCTCCTTTCCCAGGCACACCAGGACATCTGCAGACAGTGGAGTATCACCTGATGCAGTGGTTACTGGGGAATCCTCACAGTCATTCCAGTAGTGCTGCCCTTTCTCCCTAGAACATTTCCTGGCCTCCTGATTGGGTCTGCTTACGAGGCACACATGGCAGCTCTCTTGCCTTTGATGCAAAGTAGTGTTTTCAGTTTGATGAACAGGTATAGCTGGAAGGACCTGGAAAAGGTTGGCTGCTGCTGAGGGTGGGTGTTCAGTTGGCCTTGGAGGGGGCACCCTAAGACACGACCTCAGAACAGGCTGAGGTGAGAAAATTGGTGGAATTGAGTGGCTGCTTTAAAAAGGGGCAGTTCTAATTCAAACAGAGAAGATGCAGCCGATTTATAAAAATGACTTCTTCACTCTCTGTTTTGTGTTCCCAGCTGCGCTCCAGTGCCTGGTATGTAGTAGGCATGCGATAGATATTTGCTGAATGAGCAAACGAATTCAACAAATATTTACTTGTTAAATGTTGCCTACTATTTTCCATGCACTGTGGTAGGTGGGCTGGCCTTGTTATTTATAGAGATGACGTGTGTGCACGCGTGTGCATCTGTGCACGCACAGGCACACATATATTAACTCGCATTCAGTTATATGTTTCATTGGCCCCTGTGATTACTGTCTTCGTTGGGAGCTAATGACACATTTACTGGACTTGGCCAAGCTTATATTTTTATGGCTTTATTTCCAAGACCAACACCAGATTTTTTAAAAGAGAATATTTTGATGCAGGCAAAAATTTATATGAAAAACAGAACACGCTTTCCTGGTACACTGTCCCAACTCGTTTCTCATCAGTGAGTGCTAGCTGCCTCTCTCCCCCTGTGCACACACATGCACTTTGTATTGGAGTGGGGGCCAGTGCCCACCTTAGGGATGACTAACTGCCTTTGCTGCTAGGATTTTCCCGTCCTGTCTGCCTGTAGGTAAAGCCAAATCCAAGGTGCCTGGGTGTGTGTGCATATTCCCTGTGGTGGTGGCTTCCATGTTTCCCCTGTTTTAAGCAATGGCACTCTTTGTTTAAATGAAATTTTATATGGAACCCCATGTGTTCACAACAGAGTAAAAACAGATCTGCTTAGCTTGCAGTGAGGATGGGGCTCTTGCTCAGCCTCCATACCACCTGCCCCCTTCCTTGCCAGGGCCTCCACAGGACTTCCTGGAGTCCCAGCGCTCCCAAGGCCCCATTCGAAAGCAAAGGCCCCGGGGAAGTGCCTGCACACACGTGTGGTCACACACGCTTGCATTCACAGATGCTCATCTGTGCATGTGCTGTGTATTCATGCCTCTTCTCTCTCTCCCCTCCCCCTGCTCGCCGTGACCGTGGTGCAGGCAGGCCTCATCCGCACAGACAGCACCGACTACTTCCTTGAGCCTCTGGAGTGGGGGCAGCAGGAGCAGGAGGTCAGCGGGAGGACGCACGTGGTGTACCGCCGGGAAGCTGTCCAGCAAGAGAGGGCAGAGCCTCACGGGGACCTTCACAATGAAGGTAGGCTGTGGGCAGGGGTCCCAAGTGCTATCTTTGTCCACATGTCTGGGGGGTTTTAGGTAACTTCTAGCCTTAAACTATCAATACCTGACCTCAGTCTTATCTGTAAAATAGGACTGGGCCACGTAGACCTGCTGTACCAGCGAAGAAACTCCAGCGGGTGTTGGGAGCTACTATAATTGGCTGGAGTTAGTGGCCAGAGGAGCCACTCATGGCCTGAACTGTGGTCTTTAGGACCCCAGAGGTCTCAGTATTGCTTCTCAAGGTGATTTCTGAGCCACGGTGGAAGGTGGAATGGCTGCATTTGGTACTTCCTCCTAAAAATCGGCCAAACCCTGTAGGAGGAAGGAAGTTCTTAGGGCACTTACAGAGAGGCTGCCTGGGGTTAGGGCAGCAGGGTCAGCTTTGTGTCCAACAGACCACTTTTAAATCCTGCCTCCAACTCTGTCTACTGTGTGATCCTAGGCAGGTCACTTAACGTCTCTGAACCTCATTTTCCTAATTAGTAAAGTGGAGATGGTCAACGTCTACCTGCTACGGTTGTTATATGTGTTGGTGATAGTCCATATAAAAACCCCAGCATGGAGCTTGGCCCATAGCAGGTACTTGATAAATGGTGGCTCTTGTTACAGTATTGTCATTAAGGTGAACCACTGACACATTAGGGTGGGAGCCCCCCGAGGGCAGGGGTGACCCTGCACCCTGGTGACCAGCACGGGTGCCTGCACACTGTTGGCATTCCGGACCCACAGTGGAGTGAACGAAACACATGTGACAGGGCTGGTCCTGGGCCTGTGGCCAACTTCATAGGGAAACTTAGCTTCGTCATAGGCCCCCTTGGCCAGGAGGAGCTGAGAAGCACTGGGTGGGATTTGGTCATGCGGGGAGCACATCCTTGTGCCAGGACCCTGGGCCTAGCGTGAAGGAATGCCTGGAAACCAGTTGTCCCCACATACAGTACATCCTTTGAAGCGCCAGCTGTTCTCCAAGTGTCACTCATAAGTGAAGCCACAGCATCAGAGCCATGGAGGGCTGTGCAGGCCTGGGGGAGGGGAGCCCTCGAGGACTCTTGTGGATTTCAGAAGCGGACTGGTGGCGGGTGCCTTCCCTCCACCGTGGCTGGGAAGAGCGACATGTCTCCCTTAGGCTCTGCTTTAGTTGAGGCCAGTTCTGAATCAAAAAAGCATAAATGCCCCCTTTTGGGGAGACACCTCAGGGAAGTCCAGCTCCAGAGCTGTGAGCTTGGAACCAAGAACATGGCCTACCACCGTGGTCGTCAGTGGCCGGGAAGCTGAGACCACTGAGCTTGTGGAGTTCGAGTTCGGGCCCAGGGAAGTGTGGACCTGACTGTCTTCTTGCATCAGGCTTCCTGGTTGGAACTCCTGTGGGTCGGGGGTGGGGCTGGGGCCTGGCCCACCTGTGGTCCTTCCTTAGAAAGACAAGGGGCAAGAGACAACTTTCTTGGAAACCTGTGGCTTGTTCTCTGTTATTTGAAAGCCAGTAGTGGGTCTGAACCCCGTATGTGGAGCAGCATTTCAGGGTGCACCTGTTTCCATTTAACATGCTCGATTAAGACAAAAGGTTTTATCTCAGCTCTTTGAGTGTATTTCTCAGCCCGAAGAGAAATGCCTCCGAGGCCTTGGCCAGCCACACAGAGCCTGGCTCACAGCCAACAGAAAGCTTTTGAGGACTTTCCCTCCACCTGGGCGCCTCCCATATCTCTGCCATCCTGTCCTGTACAGGTGTCCCCTCCTGGGTCTGTCCCCTTCTCCCATAGGCTGGGGGGTTCTAGAGGACAGATACCAAGTCTTCATCATCTTTGTGTCCCTCACATGAGTCCTCTCCCCATGGGGGTGTGTCCAGCTTTCCTGGAGGAAGGAGTGGAGGTGTTGGAGGCGCCATCCATTGGGTTTTCTAGCTCAGCTATGGTCATAGGGAGGTTTCCTGGCCCCCAGGCTCCACTGTGAAGGGGTCTGATGTGCACCCATGACCTTGGGGTTGGAGGGGACTATTCCTCTTGGCGCTCATGGCCTTGGCTGCTGCTTCCTGAAGAGGGCATGTGTGCACACACGCACACTCACACACACCCAGCATCCACCCATACCCGTGCACACTAACATACCCTCCACACACTCACACGCTCTCAAACACACTCTCGCACACACCCTCACTCACGCACGTCTTTGATGGGCCCCAAAGAGGAGTGAAGCGATTCTTTCCTCGAGGGCTCTGGTGAGAAATGGAAACTGTCAGAGTCCGGGGGTAGGGATTCCATTGGCTGGACCTCCAGTTGCAAGCTGGCCTTCACTCAGGCCCTCAAGGACTGTGCTGTGGGCCCTGCCTTGGCCTTGGATGCCCCCTTGTTTCTCATGCTGCCCTCTCCTTCAGCCCAGGGTCCAGCTGTCTGTAGCCCCTTTCCTACCTCCAGGTCCCTCTTGAGGACACGAACAGGGCATGTGCTCGTGAGGCCAGAGCTCGGGTGCTCTGCCGGGGCCAGGGCTGCCAGATGCCAGGACAGCCCATCCCTTCAGGGGCGGGCAGCCAGCCAGGCCGGGGCTCAGGGCTGCTGCCACTGCTGCTTTTTTTAAAATTGAGATAAAACTCACCATTTTAACCATTTTAAAGTGTACAATTCAGTGGTTTTCTCTATATTCACAACGTTATGCAAACCTCACTACTACCGCATTCTAGAACATTTCCATCATTCTCACAAAAAACCCCATACCCGTTATAGTCACTCCTGTTTCCTCCTCCCCAACCCTTGGCAACCACTGATCTGCTTTCTATCTCTGTGGATTTTCCTATTCAGGGCATTTTATAAATGGAATCATGCGGTATGTGGCCTTTTGTGACTGGCTTCTTTCACTTAGAGTATTTTCAAGATGCACGTTATGTAGCACGTATTAGTAGTTCGTTCCTTTTTATGGCAGAGTCATATTCTATTGCATGGCTGTACCACACTTTATTGGTCCGTTCATCTGTTGGTGGACGTTTGGGTTGTCTGCACTTACTGGCTGTCGTGATTATACTGCTATGAACATCCGTGTGCAAGTTTTTATGTGAACATACATTTTCATTTCTCTTGGTTGTGCACCTAGGGGTGGAATTCCTGGGTCATACGGTGACTCTAGGTCTAACTTTTTAGGGAATTGCCAGCTGTTTTTTCAAAACAGCTGCACCATTTTACATTCACCTGGGGCTTCCTGGGTGGGCTAATCTAAGCCTCTCAGTGGCTGGCTCACCCTCACTCTGCCTTGAGGGTTATCTAGGCCTGGCCTGAAGGATGAGAGACACATAGTTAGGTGTGTCTGGGATGTCCCCGGCGTCTATGGCTGATGTCAGCTGGCCCTCCCCCAATCCTCCTCAATGTCTGCTGAGAGCGACATCTAGGTGGGCCCTGACAGGGTGTGGCAGTGGGAGAGAGATCGGGTTTTCACTGTGGGTCCTCGCAGTTATCTTGCTGTGTTACCTAGGCTGGGTCAGGTATCCTCTCTGAGCCTCCCTTTTTTTATTTTTTTTTTCCTTTTTGTCTTTTTTTTTACTGACCGGCAACGGGATTGCAACCCTCGGTGTCGCGCCCGCACCATGCTCAGCCAGTGAGCGGGAACCGGTCTCCACATGGGATCCGAACCCTCGGCGGGAGCGCCGCCGCACTCCCAAGCGGTGCACTCTCCAGTGTGCCACCGGGCCGGCCCTGAGCCTCCCTTTGACAGACCTGGCAGGGAGGGCTTTGAGGGGTCAAGTTCAGTATTCCACTTGCAGCACTTAAACTTCCGGGCACTGCTCATGTGTTGGGGGTAACTGTTATTTATTCTCCCCGCTCCATGGAGAGAGCCTTGTCCCTTCTCCTCCCCTCCTGCGGGGTCCTCCCTCTTCTCTCCCAGGAATTTGTCTGTTGGCGGCTGCACTCACCATTGGGCTCAGATGCCAGGCCCGCTGGGCCACCTTTGTGGGGTGTGAACTGCAGAGGGACACCAGCCTCAGAGGCAGGTAAGGGCGAAACCCACCTGGGACCTGCGCACAGGGCTGTGCATATGCCCAGAGGACTGCCGCCCTTTCTGGATTTCCCAGCAGGCCAATGGCCACACATTTTCTCAAATCATAGGGCTAGTGCCTTTTTCCTTTGTACTGCAGTGCCACCAACCAAAGGGGAAATAAAAAGCACCAAGCCCCGGGGGTCCCTGTTGGCCGGTCCTCAGATTTTAGTTCCCCTAGACCCATGTTGACAGCCTAGAGGCAGAACTCGGGTCTGTGCACAGGTGCCTGCTGATGCATCTGCAAGGATCACCCGTGTTCGTGCTGGCGTCTCCACAGACCTGCTCCCATGCATAGCACAAAAAAATCATGATGGATTTGGCAGGTGCAGTTACCTCTGCACAGGGCCTTCTGCTCCCGGTGCTAAAGTAGGTTGTCTCCTGCTCCCTGTTCAGCCCTGGCTTAGAGGTCCCCTCTCTGGAAGGCTTCTCTAGTCAGTCTTGCTGTAGCCCTTGACCTTAGTATATTGTGACCATCTGCTTTCTTATCTGTCACCTCCACTAGGCGGTGAGCTCAGGGGCCCTCCTGCCTTCATCACGCACCCACCCTCCATCCGTCTAATGAGTACAGCGCGCCTCCTGCAGCCATACCCCTTGACACTTGCTGGGGACATAGTGGTGGCACCTTTACATCTCAGCCCCTGGCCCACATCTGGGGGGCTCTTAGAAATCAGTGGTACAAGTGTCACAACTTCAGGGTGGGATGGCAGGAAAGTCATTAAACATTAAGGCTCTAAATCCTTCTTGAGATACCCCAGCCTCTGTCCTGCTTTCTTAGCTTTGACTACAGTGTCCTCATGTCCCCTCACTATACTGCTCCAACATGTTACTTCAGTCTTCATTCAGGCTATCGTGTAAATGACAACAATTTAAGGTGTTACCTTTCTAGGCGGCAGTATAGATGGTGATGTTTCAAAGCCTGGATGTTTGATTCAGACAGATCTGGACAATCTACTTAATGTCCTTGAACCTCAGTTTATTCACCTGTGTAATGAGGACAGTAATCTGATAGAGTTGTTGTAAGGATTGGATTGGGTTCTATTAGGTGTCAGCAAACTAAGGCCCCTGGCCAGGTAGAGCCTGCCACCTGTTTTTGTAAATAAAGTTTTATTGGAACACAGACACACTCATTTATGTATTGTTTGTGGCTGCCTGTGTGCTTTAACCACAGAATTGAATAGTGACAGAGACTATATGACTCACAAAGTCTAAAATATTTATTCTCTGGTCCTTTATGGAAAAAATTTGACAACTCCTAGATTATGTAATACGAGTTAATAAATGCTAGTTAAATAAGTAAATATTTTCGAGAGGCACAGGGCATTCTCCACGGCTTCCTAAAATGTCCTCCAAAGGCCGCAGTAACATTGTGGGTTTTTTTCCTTTATCAAGATGTTTTCACCCACTGCCATCTTTGATTTTTACAGTGACTTGTGGGGCAGTAGATCAAGGATTATTCATCCCCATGTTACAGGACAGGAGGTGGAGGCCTATGGCACACAGTGAGATAGGACAAGGGGCTACTGGACCCAGGTGTCTGGCTCTGGACAGTTCTTATTCTCCTTGCTGTCATGCCAGGAAAAGGGCTCGTGCCTGTGAGGTGACCTCATGTTATGCAGCCTACAGAGGCAGGAAAGAGGCACACATGATGGGGTAGTGGTGGGCGGGCAGTGTCACGGTGACAGCCCCTCATGTGTGTCTGACCTCGCCTTCTTCCTGTCCTGCTTCCAGCCTTTGGCCTGGGTGACCTTCCCAATCTGCTGGGCCTGGTGGGGGACCAGCTGGGCGAAGCAGAGCGGAAGCGACGACACACCAAGCCGGGCAGCTATAGCATCGAGGTGTTGCTGGCGGTGGATGACTCAGTGGTTCGCTTCCATGGCAAGGAGCATGTGCAGAACTACGTCCTCACCCTCATGAACATTGTGAGTGTCCCTCCTGTGACCTGGGACTGGGTAGGGGTGGATGGGCCTAGGAGTGATCTGAATGGGAGGCTTCTCTCAGGCCTGGTGTTTTACAGGGAGGACTTGGGGGAGTCGCTTCTTGCTCCTTAGCCTGGCAGGCATGCCCTGGGCAGCTGGGTTCCATGGTGAAATGGGCCTGAGCTGGCCTGATGTCCGTCCCAAGCTTTGCAGTCCTGTGTGGAGGTGGCTCACAGGCTACCAGTGCCGGAGCCTACAGACAGTGGGTTCTGGGCTTGGCCACATTCAGAGCCTGGGTCAGGCATGGCCTAGGGCCTTGCTTGCCTTGGAGTTCAGGGACTTTCCTGAGATTCACCATCTGGAGAAAAATGAGCTGTCAATCTGCAAAGGGGGTTCCTAGGACCCTGATGTGGGCCTTGGGTGTTCACAAAGACCAGACAGTCAAGGAATACGAGGGATGTGGGTAAATTTGGAGACTGTAGGGAACAGAGGGTCCATGCCCTGTCCAAGTGGGTGGCTGCTACTCAGCTGCTACTGGTAGCTGTCCTGCAAAGATGCAGGGCTCTTGTCACAGAAAGGCCGGTTTTTCAAGAGAAGTCAGAAATGCAGGGTGTTTATTAAGGGTTTTAAAAAAATTTTTATTATGGAAGATTTAAATCCAGATATCTAAATGAAAGTTCCCAATTTTTAAATGTTAAAATAAAAACCACTTTGAATGCCAAACAAAACACACGTATAGCCATATGTGGCCTGTGGGCTACAGGTAAGCAGCTCTGAGCTACAAGGGGCAGAGATGTGGGAGAGCAGAAGGCAAGGAAGGGTGAAAGTGTGGGAGGTGGGCCCTGCCCTGTTTCTCTTCTGGCCAGATGCCTCTGCCAGGGTGCCTGCAGCTGTGGCTCTGGGGAAGATGGGGACCCGTCTGGGTGAAGCGAGACCTAAGGTGGAAATAGAACAGACCAAGGCCAGAGGCTGGGGAGGGTGGGCAGGACCTGTTGGAGTGAGACCCTGGCTCAGCTTGCTGTGACACTGTGGAGTCCGGGCAGGACAGTGGTGGGAGGTGGAGCGGGAGGGGAAATGCCACACCAACAGGAGGCAGCAGGGCAGGTGCGCTTCACCTCAGAGTCTCTGCATGGTGACCAGATTAATGGCTCATCATAAATGTTCATCTGGAGCACAACAGCTGAGAAAGAAGATATGTTTGAGGGCACCTGAAACAGTATATGGAAAGATTTCTGTTATCTTTCAATTCTATTTTTCCACGAACTTTTTGAAGTACCCTCGTATACATAATGGGCCCTGGAGAATTTGAGTGGGGCCTCGAGAGAAGGTCAAAGCTTCCAGCCCCACATGGGCTTCTACTGGCCTTAAGGTTAGGGTCCTCTGAGCCTAGTGTTTGGAGAGGAGCATGGAGAAGTCGGCTAGCTGCATGTTCTCCTGCAGACCAGAAGATGACTGCGGGTGGGCCAGGGCCGGGATAGAATCAGCATATCCTCAGTCTAACATGGACAGTTTTGGAAGCTCTGATGACATGGAACTGATTGAAATTCTGCACTAAAAGGAATGTTAGTGAATCAGCCGAGAGCTCACAGTCTGACTCTGCACCTTCCTATCTTTGTGACCTTGGGGGCAAGTTACTAACCCTCTTGACTGTCCTCTTCTGCACTTTTAAAACAGCATTATCAGTACGTACTATGCGATGTTTTGGGGTGGATTAAATGGGCACACAGTGCCTAGCATGGTCCTTTGTATGGCATAAGCGCTCAGTAAATGGTTGTTGATAATAATGATGTGACTTTAGTGAAATGAATGGTAATGCCTGTCAGTTGATGAGGAGAAACATCAACCCATGGTCACGCCAGTCCCCGGGAACATTTGTAGGATAATGAAACAACATGACGTTGCCTGTGCTGCCTGGGGTCCTTGATCTGGCTGCACCACAGGTGAGATGGCTGCTGGGAGGGCAGCCCCTAATTAACCGTGTGCCCTTGGGCAAGAGACCTGCCTTGCTTAGGACTCTGTAGGTTGCAAGTGGTTAAAAACCAATTCAATCTAAATTTTAAAAAACAGGGAAATTTATTGTGAGGGACAAACTGTGGGAGGGACAGGTTGGAGTTGGTTATAAGAGTAATTGAAATTAGAGGCTTACATGACTCTCAGTTTTTAAATTCCCTCCTCTCTTCCTAATTCTCTCTGACCAACCTCTCTACAATACAGATTCTGGCTACTAGCAACCCAAGGCCAACTCTTATCCCCATAGCTCCATGGTTAGAGACAAAGGAAGTTTTCCCTCCAGTTCCCAGGCACAAATTCCTGGGGCAGGACTCTGATTGGCCTAACTTGGGTCACATGGCCACCGTTTGGGCCAATCACTCTGTGTTAGAGAGGAGATCATCAGTTTTCCAAAGGTGGAGAAGCATTAGATGCACACATGGTCACTGGAGAAATTGTTCTGAGGTGGCCAGACACCCCGATTTGTGTCTGCTGTGAAATTTACCCCTCCAATACTCTGCATTTTAAAAGTATCTCTCTTGGCTTTGTTGTGAAGGTTATGCCTAAAGTATTTAGCACATGTCTGCACATAGCAAGTACTCAAGTAGTGCTTTCTGTTATGGCCGTTAGTGATGTTGCTTGTCTTCACGTAGATGTGAGTAAGTTGTTCTTTGTCTGAGTCTCTGAAGGTGAGTTCCTTAAGGGGAGGGACATTGTCTTATCCTTTTTGGAAACCTGACGGCACACAGCACAGTGTCCAAGGCCTGACAGGGATCCGTAAATGTGGAAGTGAATTGTGTCTGTGAGGGAAGCAGGTAGCCAGCATCCACTGAGATTAGAAAAGAAGGCAGCAGATTTCTGTCTGCAATGCTAGCACCAATAAAGAGCAGGGCTAGAAATCAGCTCCAGTTATGGGAGCCCTAGGTAGGGGGTGGGTGCCAGAAAGCCCGCCCCTGGCCACCTCTTTGTGTAAATACTTATTCTCCTATCCCTTAAGCCTGTTGTATGGCTTAGGACACAAAGAGCAAGGGCTACCACATGTAGCTGTTTGAGAAAGAGAGAGGGAGGAAGGGAGAGAGGATGACTATAAATATGCACACACCCACATGCTGGAACACTTGACCCCCCACCCAGACTCTAGGAATTGCAGGCCCAACCTAAGACCACACAGCTGAGTACTAATCCCATTAGTGGGATGCCCAGCCGAGAGCCGGGCTGGGCCCCAGGAGCCAGCAGGTGGAGAACAGGAGGAGGGGCCGGAAAGGGGCAGGAGGCCGGGGAGACCCCGGGATGCCCAAGTGCACTGGGAGCCTGGTCCTGTGGCCCAAAGCTGGGGCTGAAGGCCATAGATGTGTGAGACAGGTCCTTTCACAGTCCCAGACTCTTTCAGTTTGTTAAAAGATGATTTTTAGAAAAAGGTAAAATCACAACTCTCATACAGAAATAAAAATGTGTGTTACAAGGCCCGGCCCGTGGCTCACTCGGGAGAGTGCGGTGCTGATAACACCAAGGCCACGGGTTCAGATCCTATATAGGGATGGCCGGTTCGCTCACTGGCTGAGCGTGGTGCTGACAACACCAAGTCAAGGGTTAAGACCCCCTTACCGGTCATCTTTTTAAAAAAAAAAAAAAATTTGTGTTAGAGATTTTACTCATGAATGAGATTTTTAGTCATTAATCAATGACGGCATCAGGCACATGTTATAACTCAGTCAAAAGAGAACCCAAGAACCGAAACCATTATGGATCAGGGATTTTGAAATAAACGTGCAAATGGAGACAAAACTGGCGTTTCCCAGGGCGGAGGGGAGACTGTGTTTGCACGCTCTCGGTGATCTGCGCGCTGTCCATCGCAGGGTGGCTTCCTCGGGATCTGATACAGGCGGGGGGAAGCTGTGCCGCAGACAGTGCTGCGTTTCCACTGGAGGACAAGTTTTTACTCTGAAGGTGAGGCCCTCCTAAGTGTGAGGAGGCTGCGTCCCCACTCCTGGAGCTAGAGGGGTGGCAGCTTTTCTCAGTCCACATCCCTGGATCCTGGCTGTGTGATAATCCTAAACAGCTACGTGCTGGGACTGTGTCCCCCACCCCCTACACTGCGTTGTCCCCTGCACCTCACTTTCTGGATTCTGGCTGGGGCGTGGGGAGTGGTGAGGGTGAGTCGTCAGAGGAGTACCACAGGCTCTCTCGGGCGATACCCTTCATCCTTTCTTGCATCTTTCAGAGAAAGTCTTTCAGAGGTTCCCTTGGGCACCTCCATTGAGAATTTTGTTGCTCAGCTTCTTAAGTGACTCTTGATTGGGCTAAGATTTCAGCAGGTTCTGGAAGGGTGGAAGAGCTTCCTGGAGCCCTGCTCCCAGCTGGCTTTACCCCAGTCTTGGCTGTCATCCATTTATTTGTTCAGAGCCAGGGGCTGCAATGCTTCAGTGGGCCCTCCATGGTGCTAGGCATTGGGCAGGGTGGAGTGGGGTGTTAGGGCTCCTGTGTTGCAGGTGACAGGCCCAGCTCACACTAGCTTAAACCAAAGAGGGGCTCTATTGGAAGGAAGCTGCTGATGTGCCCACAGAGCCAGTGCAAGAGCTCCGGGACAGGACAGCTCCAGGGACCACAGGGACTAGGGCCTCCGCCCATTAGGATACTCCCTCCTTCCCCTCCCTGCTGGTCTGTGCTCGGTGATGGAAGCCAACAGCAGACAGGCTTTCTCCCATGCTGGGAAATGGGGCCATCTCCAGATGCTCACACGTCATGCTTTTAGGACCCAAAGGATAGAGGCATCCTTCCTGCCCTCCTAAGGAAGATTGGCCAGGGGTGGGTCCTGTGGCCATCCCTGGACTAATTGCTGTGACTAGAAGGTCAGAACCCACTGCTGTGTCGGGGGGTGAAGTGGAATGGGATATGTTCCCAGAAAGCAGGCAGCGAGGCATGCAAACAAAAGGATTAGCAAAAGAATTAGCAAGCGTAGTCCCGGCCTGCAGAGCGAACACTGCTGTGTGTCCACAGATAGTAGATATGATATT